AACTGATGAGTCCAAAAGAGGATGAAACGTACATCATTGGAATTAAGCATCAATTTCATATAAATGTGAAGTTACACTGTCCGTGCAACACAACTAACAATTCAAGGCACAATCACCAGACAGACAGGCCACACACATACATGTTTATTGTATTCTCTTTAAATATGAAACGAAACCAACAGTAATTGAATAATTGTGAATAAACACTTCAAAATAGTAAATAACAAAGTAGACACAAACAAAGTTAAAAAGGAAACACTCAACATGTATTTGAACAAATACAACTGGAAAAAAAAGATGTACTTTTTCACATGTTGACATCAGTAGTAATAAATAATTCTGATAGAAAAAGAATGACAAATGAAGACACTATCAGACAACTACAAGTTGTAACTAGTTGAAACGACACATGGTAAGAAGTAAGACAATCTATGATAATCGACACAAATATATATATACATTAGTGATACCAGTTAGTGGAAGATTTGTAACACAACATAGAGCCTGCAAAAGATAAACTACTACTTTCTCAACTCTATGACATTGAATATCGAAATCGAAATGCACTCATGCAGTAGGCAATGTGCCATACATGTACGTATTCTATGAAGACTAATGATTCTACTACTACCTGACTGTCCAAACCTTGTTAGGCGGAGCAGAGTTCGGATCCGTGACCCAATGGTTGAAAGTCAAGCGCTTAGACCATTGAGCGACAACTCCATGCAAATAAGTGAGGTATGCTGTTCAGTAATCTGTGGTTTTTCCAAGCAATAAATGATATAATTTAACAACTTTATTTGTACACATTGGTACTGATGTTTAACAGAGAGAGACAGCCACTTAGATCCTAATCCCTCACTATAATATGGTGGAGTGATGAGAAATAACACCCTAGGTAATGAGGTTGGTGAAACCATCCTGTTGCAGCATGAAGATGTGAGGACACATGCTAACTCCTGGATTACTAACTGGTTGTATTCCTATTTCTCTGAAGGGAAATAATATACTGAGGGATACGTTCCACTTCATTAGTCACTGAGACTTGTATTCCCTAAAGAGCTGTTTTTCTTCACCCTTGGGCTTAATTCTTCAAAAGGTCAAACTACCACTTTTATTTTTAGATGTATATAATCTGCGCAAACTGCTTCAGTCTTATGACTATTGTTTTATGGATGGTTCTGTATTGAAGAATGTGTCTTATAAACCCCTTCATCTTGCAAATTCTCCTTTATTGTTCCTCCTTTATTGATTCCTGAGGTTACTGCATTGTGTGGAGCTTTGAAGATTGGGGAAAAACATCTTAACTCATGTAAACATCTGGCAGGAGTTATTTTATCAGATGACCAGAATCTTCTTCACTTAAAGCTCTCTGCGTGTCGGTCATCACGAAAAACAAGGAGCAAATACATAAGACTTTATGCACCCAATACTAAACATAAAAACTCTACAATGCCGTATTTAGCTCGGATCCTGTGTGGGGGAGAAAGAGCTGAAAATGAACTAACGAATCAACATTTTTAATAGCAAATGATTGCAGATTATATAACTGGCTGTTATTTAAGCATTATGAATCTAATTTTTAATGTGACTGTTTTACCTCTGCTTTTCCGAAAAAAGTTGTGCATGGAGTAAGCATTTTTTCGAAACCGTTTTCCTGAAAATTCTATATAGTACTCCTAAAATATCTTACAGAAAAAACCCAATATTTGCTAATGTTGATGGAGAGTGGTTAGCAGTAGAATCCACGACGCACGTTTCGTCCCATTTGGGACTCGTCACATGAATGTGTGATTTTGTCCCTAATAAGACTTCAAACCAGAATGGATCGCTCCAAATGACAGAGTGTTGTACAGTAGGCCATCGAGTCATGAAACCACTGTTTGTACGACGGGTATAGCTAATATGCTATTGCCTGTGATTTCCCATCGTTAACTGAACTGAATATCTATTGGTGTCTATTCGTAAATTATAACAATGTCAGAGACAACACCTGTCTCATAGACTGAGAGATCTTTGTCACACTTACATATGGTCCAGTCAACTATGCTAATCGTTCCAATGCACATTGATAGATTCTGGACAAGAGAAAACCAGAGAATCAATTTGATGGATGTGTCTTGGGTGAACTCTCTCTATGTTGAATCGACTTTATAAACCATTGGTCTAGTGTACAGACAAATATGCAAACGATAACTAAGGTCTTCAATTGTCTAACAAATTATTACTAGTTGGCATTCCCCTGCACGTTTACATGTATTATCAACATTCACGATCAATCATCTGAAAACGCGTTTTGTTTATATGAATGAGCAATTTTTCAACACATCTGACAATAAGCCAGATGTTAACTTGACCTCACAGTTGTAACGGCTAGAAAATGGCTGAATCACACACATACACACACACAATTAAACGACACATCACAAATAGATTAATCTGAGGGCAGAGGGAATCGACACAACAAAAACCAGCCATTTGACTCATGCCTCTCACATGCGAGCGAAAGCTAGTCAAACAATGGATTATACAAGCCTGCACCCTATAAATGCTAGCTAGGCTGTTGGGGTAGAGAGAGAGAGACAGAATTAGAACAAAGACTCTAGGACAGAGGATGACGCACAAAGACATTGCACCGTCCTTGCCCAATCATAATTTTACACAAGGATCACAACACATCGGTCACCAGATTATAATAATCAATCTAGGATGAAGGCAAAAGATGGAAGGATTAGCGAAAAAGGAAAATGGAATGAAAACAAAGAGAGGAAGCGTAACAAAAGGAGGGATTTAGTTTCAGAGGCAAGAATGAATGAAAATTTGCCACTCTATTTACAGAAATGATCGGAATGATGCCTTAATGTGAAGAGTATCATTTGTAATAGGCTGAAACAATTTTGTACAATACTAATGTACAGCGTCCCAATAATAATATTAATCACTTCATCGCAAACAATTTCTGGTAAAATTTGAAATGTTCAGCAGCGAATCCATTACGTCATAGTAACCAATGCGCTTGTATGAACTATTTTAGCCAAACACAACCAAATCAGACAATAACCAATCACAAAGAATGTGAATTCCCACAGCATGTATTCGATGTTGCTTCGATATCAATCTCCCCCTCCACTGTGATAAGTTAATTCTTTGTGACGGCAATGGCTGAGCTTTTCACGATACTTCTTGGCTCACTTGGGTCTATCAGCCTGGAGATTTGGTCAGTCTTTTGTGCTCCGTTATTCTGATTGACCCCGGTCGACTACTTTGACCTATGGACTTGACCTCACAACCATTGTAAGGAATCATTTGATAAACTAAATTATTTTGTCAACTCGCCCCTGTAAAATCTATTAGCCAACAAATCTTGTTTCTTAGTGAGTTTGTAGATTTAAATGCCATTAAAATTGCGGCGGCGCCTTCCTGATACAGTTAAACCTATGAATCCTTTGAATACTCATTTCGCAGTGTTGTCTTATCTCTTTCTTAAAGTTTCTTATACATATCTGCATCACCTTTCTTCTACGTGCTTTACTTCCTATCCTAGATTTTCTATGTTGCTGCCTAAACATTTCTCTCCATTATTATCACCGTTGCTACAGTAGAGTTAATCAACTGCCTAAAACAGAGAATTTCGAAGCCATGGCTGAATAGTACACATACATTGACAACAGCAAAACACTATAGCATGAGGTGATTGGAAAGCGGTAGAATTAGCAGTGCAGAAATGCGTGCGAATTGCAAACCAGTGTCTATACAACACTGGATACCACATATCGGTAAGACTAAACAGGTAGATACAGCTAATAAGTCATAAACTTCAGATAATATTCGTCTTCTCATTACGCTAATTATCATGGCCCAGATTTTCATTTCACTTTCAATCTTCACCCAATATCGATAAATACAAGTCTACCAAACCATGTCTATCACAGCTAGTGAAAATAATAATCAATATGATGCACTTCACTCTCTAATACAAGTAGATTTGGATTAGGGTGAGAAGTCCTGACTGAACTGGGCAGCCAATGTGAATACGATCCAGGGATAGTGAAGCATCATCAATTCACATGGCAGTCGAGAAAAACCTCTGAAATTAGTCGGGTGTCACAGCTCAGGTAGTAGAGTACCGGACCGGTAACCTGGAGGCTGCCAGTTCGAATCCCAGCGCAACTCAGATTTTTACTTCACATTCAATCGACACCCAGTAAATAAAGTATGTCCTTTTGTATCGATGATAAATTAGCATGGAATAAGTCATATGAGCGTTAGTAGACAACAACACTGCGAATCAATTAACACTCGCATACACATAACGAAGTAAAAGAATGAAATGGTATGACAAAATGTGTGAAACGTGAACACCCTTGATCTTTATCGAGAAGCACTCAGCAAGCTTGTGTACACTCGCAAGGTAAGCAATGATCCATACATCTACTGTATGGGAGTTAGTGATGCTACCTGGCCGCCCGAACCTCAGTAGGTAGAGTGGGGTTCGAACCACTGGCCCGTTGGTTGGAAGTCGACTCTGTAAGCCAGTAAGCTAAGATCCTATCAGAGGAAAACGGAAAAAATTGATAGGACTACTACCAGGGAGATCAGGTAAAAATAATTGCGAGGTGAATGTTTAACTCACAGAAAGAGTTCGGAGGTAACACAGGAAAACCCATAAACTCATAACTGGTGGAACACCTCTCTTCATAATTATCTATCCCAGTGAAAAATATGTCAGTAATTCATATCTTGAAAGCTATAGCGACTTTGAGGTTCAATTACCACGATCTTATATTAAGAGCAGTTCGACAAACAGACTACAATATGTGACCTAGGCAATAAGTAAAGTGAAAGGTGGAAGCATCTGGGTCATTTTGATCGATGTCAACGCATATCACCTTAGGATCTTCAGCCATCAGCTCCCAAAACCTCAACGATGCCATCTGGTAAGCAATAGAAGGCTTATGGCTTCATAAATAAACGAGACATCTTGGTCTGATCGCTCTTACCTCGTATTGCTTCAGTTGATTGTGATTTGTGCATGCGTAACCCTACACCGAAACTCCCCAAGATCTAAAGATAAAAACAGTTCAATAAAAGTACTTTCTATATCTGTCTCATCTTCACTTGGAGTACCTTCAACGCACATAAAGTTGGATACCGTTTAAAAATAGCCAGACTGGTTTTTAACCAGACGAGTTCCCTTACACTTCACCGTTAATACACTCAGACGTTAAGGGTAGTCCCAGACAGAGTTGTGACTCCATTCTAGTGTCTGTATCAGATGTAATTACAGAGAGTATGAAAAACTTTCCAGGGTATAGGAAGAGATTAATAACCGAATATTCGCGGCTGTCGTGACCCAGTGGGCTACTGGATAACATTGACGTTTCAAGTGATTGGCACTGGGTTCGAGTCTCAGTGGGAACAACCACTCACTGGGCTGCAGGTATATACAGCTGATGAGTCCCGAATACGACGAAACATGCGTCCTAGATTCCACTGCTTGTTTTTGGAATAAACATCAAATACATCCAGTAGGAATTATTCAGCAAGCGCTCCAGATACATGGAAAGTTCTACTCCCCTTATTACAAAGAAGAGAGAATTAGAACTATAATAACCATGTCTCAAAGTTGTGCAGTCACCTGATGTGACTAGATAGACAGACAAAACCAATGTAGGACCTCGTGCACAGGTGCATACATAAATCTCAGTGTTTGAAATACGATGTTTTGCACGGAAGTCTGGTCCGAGCTTCTTCAGGAAAATAATCAAAATCTACTCTATTTTAAGTGTATATAATAGGTCAAAAATCGTATGGTTGATTGGTTGTTTTTCAATAGAGTTACTAATCATTCACATAGTGGTGCATTGATGCATACGATGCACGAATGTAAGCCTGTGTACTGAAGATTATGAAGGTTAATGCAAATATCCAGGCTTTAAAAGGCATCAAAGAATGAATACATCTATGCCATTGTGACCGGTTTTCACTAATAGTCCCCAACCACTGATTCCAATCGTCTTGGGGACCCCAGGCAAGTCGGGCTACACAACCCTACGGCTCAGGTCGACAGTCACAACCTCACAGATGACTGTGTAGAGGTACACACGACCCTCAGTGCAATTATACCAATACATACAGTTGACTTCCAAACGTCAGGTCACCAGCGGAAATATGCCCTCAAGATTATATTTCACTGTGAGGTAATACAATGAAGATTTTTATGCGGTTTCAGTCAGAACAAAACTTCGTGTTGTGCAATAGACAGTCAGACAGTCAACATAAACATGGGAGCATTACCAATGAGATACAGCTGTTGTGAATGCTGAAGACACTGCTCGATATTACTGTCGAAATCCCAGTAGCCAGGGTGGGGTCCAAACAAGTGACCTACCAATTGAAGACCAACTATCTAGACAGTTCGACTCTTATTGACCGTGAATCAGCCTCAATAGTAGAAGACGAGTGATAGACAAAGAATCTTGTTAAAAAATGACTTCCGCGATATTTCAGAACAACAGATCATCATTACTAAACAAACTGTTAACTGACCCCCGCTCCGCAACATGTTCGCTTGCTGGCCTGTCGTTTATTAATACTAACCGTTTACAGAAAAAATGTCGCGTTAATTCAGGCTAGTTTTATCAAAAGACAAGCATGGTAAGTAACAGTGTATACATTTACGACTAATGTTTACTTTAAACTCCCCTATAAACAGTTAATAAGCGAACTACATTCCATAGTAAAACGCTGAACTACTCAGAGTTCTTCATGAAAGGTTGGCATTAATTTTCGAAAATATGGGTGGGTACAAGAATTCACACTTATTACCAGCACCGAAAAATGTAAAATAAATAACGAAACAATATCAGACAATGGAGAGAGTCAAATCTTCAGAAATCGATTGCGGAGTATGTTACCTTCAACCCTTTATCCCTGATTAATTAAATTTAGATTACCCCACAGTCAGGGAACTCATATCAACACGATTCTACAAGTATGCGTTAAGATGCATCTACCATTCTGCTTCTCAAGAATTGTGTTAGAAGCAGATAGTCATATCAACTTACTGCTCAGTGTTCACTTAGTACAGCGTTCTATCCTTAGATAATAGTGGGCTATAAGAATAGCAGATAACAAGGTTTCTTTGTGATAAGCAACTTTCAAGATTTGTGCTAGTAAATGGCTTGACCGTGTGTGTTATGCATCCCAAGCCACTATCTATATCGATATACAAAGTTAACCGTGGTATGCTTGGGTTTGAAGAAGGCTCATATTAGCAGGATGAAGACACTATGTCACTATGATATCTCCCACTATTGGCCTGAGACGTGTTTGGTGATAGGAACCAGGGAGTGGGAACTTCTAGTGACATGGATAAAAATCGGTCACAATGGGTAGCGAAAATGTAATTCATTCGCAAACCTCTTCTAAGGTTAGAGCATCCTAACGAACCTTCATTTTCGTAAGAATGCTCTCACTTTTGTCAAGTATTCAACGAGTTGATCTTTGCAAGCACTTGTGAAGTGTGGCAGACTAAACTAATGGACTTCTGTGAGGGGTTCTACGTTGATTCTGTTTGTCTGACTGCTATATTCCAATAACACGGACAAGTAGAACTATGATGCTACACTAGGAATCAATTGATGCAAAATGACTACACTGAAACTCTTATGAAGTAGAGACTCATTTTAATGTGGCAACAGTTTAGTGACTTACCATTCAAACGTAATGTACTTTCATTACAAGAATCATTAGGAGTTATTTGACGAGAAATTGACTTATTTGTAGAGGCTGGAGCGGAATGCCGATCGAGTGGATAAACATAAGTTGGGGAAGAGGAATGAAATGCATGCGTGAAATCTCCATTCACTTTGGGTATATTCGAAGAATTTGGTCGCCTGGATTCACATAGTATATTAGAGTTAACTATCCCAATATCTGGATCCGGTTTGGGATCTAGGCCATTGTGATGTTCAGCAGAATGGTCCAACATCATCATCATCATTGTATGATTGGTGTTGATAGTTTAATCCTCTTCACTGTAATAACAATAATCAGACAATAAAATAGCAATGTAGTGATATCTCCTGAGATTGATTGATTTTTTGAGCGAGGGCAATAACGTCGTTGTGGAATCGAAAGCAAAACCACCACAGATTGAACGCCCACAAAAATTTTTAACCAGGACAATAATTCTCACAGGCTGAAATGGTTGTCCCAATCGCATGTACACATGTAACAGACAGATGATAATCAATCATATGCATACATACATTTATTTATTTACAAGGCATGCATGCACAAGAACAAATAAACAGGCAAAGAGACAATAGCACAACATTTAACTAGACTCTAAATTCTTATTTGTCAGTTAAGAGATCTGACCTTCTCCCCTAGCTCAAATAAAAGCCTACACCTACGTGTGTCTTCATTGTTCATTTGATATCACAACAGCTCAGACTGCACATACTCGATTGTGATTGGTTGAAATTGGGTTGTGACTGTCATGATAAGGCCTATTGGTCAATAGTTAACCCGATAGTCTACACGATTGTTTAAGCTATTGACCCGAATATTACAATTCCTATTTGGGTTATATGTAGACCTTGACTCCGGTTGTTTTAAAAATCCAGTGTGAAACACGCTGTGACACGCCAGAATGAAATAATACTCTCGAATATATATATATTTATATATATATACTGGCTTCATTTAAGTTCAGATATGTATGTTTACCTCATCTTAGATTGCGTATTTTGCAAAAAAGTGACCGACAAATTGCAATAGCCATATATAAATATATGTATATATATATATATATATATATATATATATATATATATATATATATATATATATATATATATAATGGTTGTCGGATGTTTGAACTGCTTTGATCTGGTCGGATTGGTCATACACCTTCATTTCGCAGCAAGTATCAACAATACCTCACTATTTGCGACTATCTAAGTTTGTACAACCATGGAGATGTTCAAGCAAGATACAATGTACGAAGTTGTCGAAAATCAACTGGCATGTTTTGAATCTCTGAAGGGACGTCGTTCCGAGATTGGAGATATGTCTTACTGACGAGTGCCAACAAGCCCTAAACCTAGGTAGAGAACGCCTTCTTGTGGGTTGTCTCCAACTGTTTCCACTGTGGAGGTTTGTGGGAATTTATTGATTCCAAGTTGGTATTCATCACCGACTGACATACGTTGGGGGATCCAAGGGTTATTATCCTTCATAAGTGTTCCTCACGGATGTAAAAGTTGCGAATGGTATTGTGTCGTACTAGTGTATCCTCAAGAGGCTGGAGGTCAGATAGACACACAAAAATGGGGAACTACGTAGAACTTCATACGTTACTTGTAGGTTGAATTTCCTAGACTTTGTGGCAACCCATAGGAAATAAACAAGAACCATTTTAGAGGAGTAGGAGAGAGAGAAGTAAGAAAACAGTCAGAATTTTGGAACTTCACCTTGTTCCAGTGCAACAGTTTCACCCAGTTACATCTCTTCGATGAAGTTAACTTCCAGACAAAGAGAACTCTATGCTCAATGCGAACACTGTTCCATCAAAATTGAACAATGCAAAAAGAAAGATATGTTTGACCTCGTAGTAATGATTAATAGCCAGTGAACGTTGGAGGTTGTGAAGCTTCTGGTTTTTCCATAACTCTGCAAAATGTAAGTCTAATATGTCAGCTAATTATCGTCTAAGCAGTGGATCAGAACTGAGTAACCTCTAGTACTGACCTCAACCACGCTTTGACCTACTACTGTATCGAATGTCATTTTATTAATGGTAAGCGACAGTGGATTCCAAGCACTGGATTTCGTCTAATTTGTGGCTCATTAGCTGAATATATTTGCACCGTCAGGGGGTGATGATATTCTTACTGAGGTTAGAGAATGGATACATCCAGACCGCCTATTGTGACCAATTTTCATCCAGTCCACTAAAATTTCTCAACCCTTGGTCGTCTCGAGGACTTCATTCAGTCAGTCTAGAATGTCAATACATAACTCCAACCGAGAGTCAGAGACTTCATGGAGTGATAACGTTTCCTGTTTTGGCTAATCTGACCTTTCTTCCAACTCAGCTGTACTTCGGTAGGCATTGTATGTCGATGTAATCAGTGGCTCATAATGTACAATACACATATGCAAACCAACTCAGTCACTGAACGTTCACAGACTTATCATCTGGCTTGCCTGAGATCCACGACATATTAAAAGTAACAATAGTTAACTTTTCATTTTGGCTATCTGAGATAATCTGATAATCAATTTGATGCTCCCCCGCCCCCTCTGATTTAGTTAGATTTGGATTGGGATGAGAAGTCATGACTGGGCTGAGCAACCAGTGTGAATACTATCGAGTGGTAGTAACTTGTCACGAATTCACATGTCAGTTGGCCAAATCCCGCCTTGATGATTAAAGTGAAATAAAAATCTGGTCAACAGTCGAACCTCGTAGTGGCCAGACCATCGGGTCAAAAACCCTACAGTCACTGGTTCGTATCCAGCCACCATCCGAATTCTTACTTCACCTTCAATCATTATCCAGTATAGATAACGTTTCTTTATGAGTAGGCATAGAGACCCAGCATTTGTATTGAAATAACAAAGTTGACTTTATAAGTTTCAGCAAATAGTGACTTATAAGAGATTAGAAGTGTACTGAAACAACTGACCAGTAATTTCTTCAATTTGTTCAACAGTTCTTTACAATTTCTCATGATATCCTCCATTGAAAATTAGCTGTCAGGTACCTAATATGTGATTCAGTTAATTCATACTACAGCAGTTCTCACTAGAGAGTTGATATCAGTTAGGAATTGTGCCATGACATTTAGAGACACCTTAGCAGTAAGAGTTCATGATTCTGTGTGGTATCGAACCTAGAAACATCAGGTTTCACCGTGAGCTTGTTGCCATCCAGCAACTGAATTAACAGCCAAAGGTTTCCCAATACCAACTTCTCGATATACCAAGACCATAATCCAATCGCATCGACACGTATTTGTCCTCATGTTCGACTCCGTCGTCCCTAAAGGTCACAACTCATTGGATTACTCTAGTGAGCATTGTGAGGGATCCCCTGAGAGGTTATGGTTTCTCACATATTCGAGGACTTAATCAGCTGTTCAGCACTCTTAAGTTTTCAGAGATTCTCCAACTGGTGTCTTGAAATCAATAAGTCGATCTATCAATCAATCCCCATACAACCACCGATTGAATCCTGCATACCGATGACCTGTAGAGATTTTTACATTCAGTAGTAAATAGTCTTCCATTGAGTAAGGAAGCATGATTATTATGTTAGTTGGGTGAAAAAAAATCAGCTGGAATTCCTAGATATAGGTTTCGTTCGTGTTGACACTCATCAGCAAGGCGTATCTGCAACTCCGACAGAATTGATGTCCCGTCTGAGATTAAAATTCGCGTAACTCAGTGTTGTAGTCAGAGACCTTACCACTGAGTTATTCGAGCAACGACTGACCTCCTGTAGGTCTAGGGCTTCCTGGCGATTTCCTCCATTCAACTAACATCGATCAAAATGCATCAGGATACTGAGCTGCCTAGTCTGATGACCACATTGCAAAATGATCAATAGAATTCAATGAACACATTTATTATTATTTGTCCCTTGGGTTGCTGCTAGAACATAGAGCTTCATTAGCACGTCTCCGCCGGACTCTCTTCTCTGCAATCTTCTCAACATGGCTCCACCACTACCTAGAAGCTTTCATTTCTTCCTCACATCATTTCCTCCATGTCCTCGAACACCCAACTCATCGTTTCCCATTTGGGTTCCACTCGAGGGCCCGATGCATGATGTCACCAAATGGTCTTCTCAGTGTATGCCGAATCCATCTTCACTTCTTTCTTCTGCATATTTGTTGAGCACTGGCTTCTTGGTTGGTTCGTTGCCAACTAGCCAGAGTTTCTTGTTGCTTATTCTTATTATTCTGGCCATCTACCTGATCTTCAGTGTCAGTATCGAGTGAGCATCGGCAGCAGCCGTTGATGGTATATGTTTGTTGGACATTCTTTTCATGACACACCACCAAGTCTGCCAACCATCACATAGAAGCACTGACTTGATATTAGTCAACACACAGAACTAGATAACATGAAGCTGGTTAACCTGTAATGATCAACCAATGCATAATTATTATTCTGAGCAATGATCACGTCAATCAATTATACACAGCATGGACGTATCCTGGTCACACGACCTGTCAAACATAGTATTATAGGCAAGAGTAGGTTGCATAACAAAGTCTCAATGACACACAAGGCCCTTGAGAACAATGATAGCAACCACTAAATTCATTGAAATCGTTCATCCAGAGAAACAAAGATCATTACAAACTTGAACGGAGTTTTATCGAACACATGCACACAAAGATACTGGAGAAAGAAACCATCTCTCCACATTTATTCCAATGTTGACACTCTATATTTGCAATCCTGAGTATAAACATGAACTGTGTTAACAAATAATGATGGCGATAGTAGTAATCGACGTAATCAAGTGAGGTTCCTATTGCCTTTTTCAATGATAATATTAAGTAATCATTTGCGTGAAAAGTCATCATGTTGATATATACACATTTGAAATCGATAAGAGAAATCAATGAATATTGTTTTAATTTGAAGGTCTGTGGGAATTTATTGGCTTCAAGTTGGTATTCATCATTGACTGGCGTCATTTGGAGAGAAATTGGAAACCTGAGAGCACTAGACAGCTAGGTGTTTCGTCCTAGTATGTGACTCCTCAACAGCGCTCACCCATGATAATGATGGATGATGAACCGTTGGATTCCGACCCACTGGCTCCATGGTAACGTGCTGACCACGGGACGTGAAGGTCCTGGGCGCCATCCCTGTCCGGGTGAGGTCATAGGTGCGTACTGTCAAGGAGTCCGACAAAACAGCTGGCTATCCAGTGATCCCAGGTTTCCGATGTTCCTCCAAATGATATCAGTCCTTGATAAAAATTGTCTTGACTCAAGGTTAACACTAGTTAAGCAATTTTTGAATAGGTGGAACACAATAGAAAGATCTTTTATATGGTTTCAAGAGCACCTAGTAATAAATTGTGTATTGGCACTGTTGTGGAATCGCACCAAGAATTCAGGATAACTTGAGTTCAGTTCATTCAACAGTGGGAAGCTACAAACCATAACATGAAAACCATACTCACTCCGTGAGTGGGAGGTATACCCGATTGACGAGTCCCGAATATGGCGAAATGTAAGACCAGAATCTAACTGCCAGCTAGCAGTCATCAATACTATTCTCAAATAAACTGAAAGGCTATAAATCACGAGAAATGATTGCATTATACAACACAATACATGTTAAGTGAGAAGTATTTCGACTCCAGCTAACCCTTCGTACGAACTGACACATGTGACCAATGAGGTAATTGAGTCAACAACTTTGTGACACACTTGGTTTAGTGCAGTTAATGACAACTGATAAAAACCCAACATAATCTAAGTTTCATGTTCCGTATCCCTAAGCTATTCAATGATACTCCTTCGTGTTTAATATAAGTAACTTTTGAGAAAACTAATTCATGTATTTGCTACAGCAAGCTTGAAAGAAAACTTCAGAAATCCATTGAGTTCCTTCACTGCCAC